AAGTTTCCTGACATTGGTGTGCACTGTGTTTACCTCTGAATAGAATCAACCACATGCCTGAAAAAATGTGATCATTTCTATTTCGGCAAACAATATACATCTATACTGTAATGTTGAAATGTTCAGTATCCATGACGTCCCACAATGTAATTGTTTTTAACATGATTGACACTTGCAGCAATAAGAGTTCTCTAAAGTATGCATTGTGTGATTTCAATTAGATCCGCTTTTGATATATCAGTGTTGTGAAAATTCTGGTAATTCATTACTGGTAATACTCGCGGCGCAACAAAGGCATTCCCTCATCTTTATGAATAATTATAATTTTCACAATTCAAACTGAAATAGGTTCCTATTGACTGAATAACATTGGAATGTTTTTACTGTGCTAGTTGATTCAACTGCTATTGAAATTTATAAAGATGAAGGAATGCCTTTGTTTTGGCAAGAGTACTACTATTTATTTTATACTGTATACATGTAACTTCCTTTGGCAGTTTCCAAATATTTGAGATGGGGGAGGGGCTGTCCATCTCAATCTCTTACTAGCGATGAATACCGCACAGTTAAAACATGGAAGGTACTAACGTTAGTACCTTCCATGGTTAAAACTACTCATTATCTGCAATTTCAACCCTGTTGTTGCTAAAAAAAAACATGTTGCTTCACTTTTTATTTAATTTTTTTTTGTTTTTTTGGGTACTAAAAAAATAATATGACCAGTGCAATTTTTGTTTAGCATTGTCTTTCTTGAATGTGCCAACAATTCCCTGCAACACTTTGTATGCATGTTTTTGACTTTTTCTCTCTGTGTAGCTTACATTTTTTTAAACAAATCTTCGGGTCATCCCAATAATTTCCCACACCAATAATTTCAAAATGTCGACCCCTAACAAGCAAACTGGTTCAAATTAGGATGCTGAATTGTTCGAGTTACGGACATCGAGTTACAAACGTCAAATTACAAAAATGATCACGCCCATATTTTAGAAACCACGCCCACTTTTGCAAAACCACGCCAAAATTGTAACTTGATGTTGGATTAACAGTTAACCGAACTTCGAGTTACGGACAACAGATTTTTGTTTTTGTCATTTTTGTTACTCGATGTCTGTAACAATTCAGCATCTCATCAAATCGACGTATACATCTCAAGTATGTGCATGTTGTGACCAGAATAAACTTTTATAGGAGATATGATTCAAACAAAAGTATAAAAAACATGGATAAACGAAAAAATAATACATTCGAGCTCCGTAATCTATTTGAAGTCACGTTCATGATGACACTCTTACCAGCGTGGCTAGTCGGCATTTTGGGGCACGATAAACACGGCAGCGTAGAGGTACGGAGGGTGTTATGAAAACATAAACGGAGCCAAAAATGCCGAACGGACCCAAAAAATGCCGAACGGACCCAAATAAGTACAAAACGGACCCAAACAAGTACAGAACGGACCCAAACAAGTACAGAACGGACCCAAACAGAACCAAATAAATACAGAACGGACCCAAACGGGCCCAAAACAATACAGAACGGACCCAAAAGAAACGAAAAACATGCAACATGTATTGGAACCGAAACGTCCGAGGTCATACCCTTCTAAATACAGGCCCTGGCCGGTTAATAATTTAGTAGATATACATGTAGATTTATTAACTGAACAAAATAAAATGTAAACATATTTGTTATGTTGCTTGTCAGAATAATAAATAAATTAAGGGCCATAAGCTGAGTTTGGTGTATTTTTGTTATGGTTCGGTTGTTATGGTTCTACATTGCCGTTCACGATGTAGGGAAGTTCGTTTTTCGAGAAAAATAAAATTTTATCTCGTTATTACGATGTAGCGAAGTTCGTTTTTCGAGAAAAATAAAATATTATCTCGTTATTACGATGTAGCAGAGTTCGTTTTTCGTATTACGGAAGCCTAATAGGGCCACGCTTTGTAAAAAAATAAAAAATATTATCTCGTTATTACGATGTAGGGAAGTTCGTTTTTCGAGAAAAATAAAATTTTATCTCGTTATTACGATGTAGCAGAGTTCGTTTTTCGAGAAAAATAAAATATTATCTCGTTATTACGATGTAGCAGAGTTCGTTTTTCGAGAAAAAATAAATTTTATCTCGTTATTACAATGTAGCGAAGTTCGTTTTTCGACAAAAATAAAATTTTATCTCGTTATTACAATGTAGCGAAGTTCGTTTTTCGAGAAAGATAAAATTTTATCTCGTTATTACGATGTAGCGAAGTTCGTTTTTCGACAAAAATAAAATATTATCTCGTTATTACAATGTAGCAGAGTTCGTTTTTCGAAAAAAATAACATTTTATTTAGCGTCGTTTTAGTCTTGCTCTAGTATCCATGCAGCGTAACTACAGATATGGCTGAAAGGGCTCGCCTTCTGGATCATTATTTCTTACTCGGGTTAAGCAATGTGGAGATTAAAAGTATACTAGAACTACAGCATGGATTTATAATTAGTTTAAGACATCTAAAACGCCTGTTAAATGGTTTCGGACTGTACAGACGCAAGTTCAAAAGCGATATACTCCATATTGCTAACTTTATTGAAGGGGAATTGAGAGGTTCTGGACAACTGCATGGATACAGGTGGATGCACCAGAAATGCATCCAACATGGAATTGTTATTGACAGAGAAACGGTGAGACTTCTCCTTCTTATTCTTGATCCAGAGGGGTAAATCTCCGTCGCAGAAGACGCTTAAGACGTCGGCAATATCGCACATCTGGTCCGAACTACATATGGCACCTAGACGGGTACGATGAATTGAAACACTATGGA